CTCTCTTTGCAATTGGAGAATGGTATTAATGTTCTTTCACTGGGGGGCGTTATTGGCCTCCCTCCTGGCCTCCTATTTACTGAATTCCTACCATATTACCGCCTCTGGATGCGTTTGCCAATCTTCCCTTACAAGCCCCACCCCCTGCTAATTGGCCTAGGACCTGCCGATCAGAAGGCTGGCGGTTCGAATCCCCGCGACGGCGTGAGCTCCCGTTGCTCGGTCCCCGCTCCTGCCAACCTAGAAGTTCAAAAGCACGTCAAAGTGCAAGTAGATAAATAGGTACCACTCTGGCGGGAAGGTAAACGGCGTTTCCGTGCACTGCTCTGGTTCGCCAGAAGCGGCTTAGTCATGCTGGCCACATGATCTGGAAGCTGTACGCCGGCTCCCTCGGCCAATAAAGCAAGATGAGTCGGTCACGACTGGACCTAATGGTCAGGGGTCCCTTTACCTTTACAAAGATTAAGAGGCACACCGGTTGCTCCACCTACTGGCATGCATCCCCCAAAAGGCAATGTGGTCTTCAAATTGGGAAAAAAGTTTTCCATCTATGCGCTGTGGGAGTCCAACGCAGGAGATGGGGATTTAGCCCCTGAGATCCTCTGGCACAAAGATAAGTCACATCTTTGGTAGATTAGGCAGACTTAAGACTGTCTCTCCTCAATGCCAAGGATGTTTGTAAGGATCAAGGGATTTCAGAAAAGTGGCCTTCAGAAGCATCTGAATGGCGAGATGTCCGATTCTACAATGTAATATCCAAAGGGGAAACTTTTAGTCAGACTGTATGCTGAAGACTTCTGGAGGACCCATATCACTGGGGTGTTCAAGTGTCTATTACATGAGAAGTCACTGCCGTTCTGAAATTCTGCATCTTCTGCACGTGCAAATTGTTCTCAGTCTGTAATGGGAGTATTTACAACCAGCAATGGTTACATCCATTCTTTGTTCCGCAATCTAGTCTGCATTACCCTTCACACATGTACAAAATATCCAAGAGAGATTCAGTGCACATTTGAGCCTCATGTTTAAACACCAAAGTTCACACAATCTTCTCCACACAGTCTTTCAATGTGTGAGCCAACCCCACTATACAACTCTGCACAGTGAGGTGTTGTGTAGTGTTCTTGTCTCCATCGTTAATAACTTTCAGGGGAATCCCTGTTTACCCAGGTATCTGGTGGCTGAGGAACACTACTGTTCTTGGCAACCCCAAGATCATTGGATGGAGGAATATTTTTAAATGCTTTTAGAATGTTTTAAACTGTAGCTGCTTTTAGATTTTTTATTATTAATAATAATGCGTTAACTGTTTTAGAACATTTCTGTTTTGCTTTTAAATTGTGCCTCTGTTTGCCACTCTGGGCTCCTTCTGGGAGGAAGATGGGATATCAATTCAATAAATAAATAAAAAATATTCCCACTTGATATCTGCAAGCTCAAGCTACTTCAGAAGTTCTGCTCATGTACCAATGTATGAATACCATACAAGGAGGACCTCCTCCCCTATTGCCAGTCAGGATTCTTCCTCAACTTGGGAAGAGCCTTAGACATGTACATCGTACATCAACATAACCCCTTCTGATGTAGCTTGAACATGGGGACATCAGGGGAGTGTGGCAATTCCATAGCCACCTCCACACCTTCTTTCATCATGCTGAGGTTTGTGAGGGGGTTTGTCATATGTGTCCCCCTCTGAATAGACTATTTCAGCAAGCAGGGTACAGTGGTACCTCAGGTTAAGAACTTAATTCGTTCTGGAGGTCCGTTCTTAACCTGAAACTGTTCTTAACCTGAGGTAACATTTTAGCTAATGGGGCCTCCCGTTGCCGCTGCGCGATTTCTGTTCTCATCCTGAGGTAAAGTTCTTAACCTGAGGTACTATTTCTGGGTTAGTGGAGTCTGTAACCTGAAGCGTCTGTAACCTGAGGTACCACTGTATTAGGATGTGATATTGAGCAATTGCTAATTTCATCTGTTCTAACAACATGAGGTGAAATGTTTGAACTGCTGAGTTTACCAAAAGCCCAAATAATCCTTATCTATACAGGACATCACTGACACCAAGCAGCACAGGAGAAAAACTTCACAGGTGGATGATCAATATTTCCCAATAACTGAGGTACGGATTCTTTTGTATGGGACTCCCAATATGAACTGTATTGGTAACCTACCATTCTCCTTGCAAAATAAAGTAGAGAAACAATTATTACACATTTTAGGGTGTGTGTTTTTTTTGGTAGTATGAAGAGGAGAACTTACTAATGGTTAAACTTGCTATGCTCTTGCACTGGTATTTATGAATGGCCTGCCATGACCATGGGATGTGGAGGAGAGCGCATGCAGGATATCTGTCAGCAAGGGACTGTGTTCAGGAAGCTTTTGACATCATGGCAACAGTTTCCCCAAAGTCAGCATTTCTTACTGGACCTGTAAAGGGTATCCATTCATTTGTATAGGATCTAGTAAAGGTTCCCTTTTGGAGTGACTACTGCAGTAGAATCTGAACCTGCTCTCGTCACTTGGGGCCCCCAAATATTGACCACCAAACTAGTTCCTGTCCATGTGGCCCCCAGAAGAATATAAGATGGAACTTTTGCAAAGCTAAACACTGACGGGTGCCCCACCCCTCTTTTCACCGGAAGCCCCCCCTTCTTTTAGGATCACATTCCATAATTCTGTTTCTTGGTCGTACTACAGCAGTGGGGAACCTGGGTCAAATCTGGTCCTTCAGGCCTATCAGTCTGGTTCTCAGGAGTCTCCACAGCTAGAAACCTCTCTCCCCCCGCAAAAACTATTTGGGCAGTCATTTCTGTAAACTCTGGAGTTCTTCCAAGCCTGCTGATACCTCCCTCTTGTATGTGGATAGTGGTGCTTTGGTTTCCCAAGTGTCCACACTCACAAGACTGAATTTGCTATTAGTATGTAGGAAAATTATAATTTCCCTCTTCCCCCCCTTAATGCTCCAGTTTACTCAATCGTGCAATAGAAAATTATTTTGCAAACCAGTGAATAGAAGAGAACACCCCAGCAGAGACTTGGCTTATTCTATCTCTTTTTAAAAAATAAAACTTCTTCATAAAAACTATTTACATTTTGTTATTCCCCCCGCTCCACCTCACCCCACCCTCAATGGAGCATGCATTTCCTGCCGTTGTTGATAAAATGCTATATTTTATCAGCTTTAAACAGAATGATTCAATGGCGGGACAATTTCTCACGCTGTACTTTCATTATTGGGTTAAATAGTGTTACTTCAGTTATTTGGCAAACGGTGTTTTCAGTAACCTGCTGGGAAAGAAAGAATACCTTATTTTGATTCATCTAGGACAGGGGTAGAGAACCTGTGGTCCTCCAGATGGGACTACAATTCCCATTATCCATGACCATGGGCCAGATCCAGTGCTCAGCTGGGTGAAGTGCACAGCATACCGATCCTTCTCTTTGCTCATGTGGTTTAAGAGCTGCTCCTTAAACAGAAGAGTTTTCTGTCGAAAGGCTACCAAAATTTTATCCAGTAAGAAAAACCACTGCTTGTCCAGCTTTTACCATTATTAAGCATGAATGTACTAAGGGCCGAGGAGAGATGTTGCCCTGTGGAATCCAAAAGGCACACCTGCTTTGTCAGAGGTCTTCTCTTCTTTTCAAAATGATCTGCCTAACCAGAGCAGCTATATCTGGCTTGATGCTTTCTATGGGCTCTTCGGGTCCCCAGAACTTCACGACTTTCCCATCTGGGTTGATGAGATACTTCCAGAAATTCCACCGAGGCATAGCTTTGGAGGAATCTGCAAGAACAAGACAAGATTAGTTTGTATTGCAAGCAGAAAGGGGCACCATTCAGATTTTTTAAAAAAACAAAACAAAAGCAAAACCCCCTTATAAGAACAGAAGAATGTTAGAATCCTAGAACTGTAGGGTTGGGCTCCAAGGGTCATCTAGCACAACCCCTTGCAATGCAGGAATCACAGCTAAAGAATCCCTGACAGATGACAGAAGACCCAGCTGCTGGCTCAGGCCAGTGGTCCATCTTAGTCCAGCATCCTGTTCTCACAGCGGCCCACCACTGCCGTTTTCAGAAACTGGTATTCTGAAGCGTACTGCCTCCAAAAGATGCGTCAAAGTGCCACTGAGATCGATAGGAATGATGTGCTTAGCTCCCACTGATTCTCTGGACCGCCAGATTCTTCCTCCTAATGAATTACAGTAATATGAAACTAGGCTCCTGGAGTTAATCATTATTGCTGATCAACACACAGTCCATAGCTGCCTTTCCACCCCCATCATTCTGCCCGGATGCTGAGGTCCAGCGCCGAGGGCCTTCTGGCGGTTCCCTCATTGCGAGAAGCAAAGCTACAGGGAACCAGGCAGAGGGCCTTCTCGGTAGTGGCGCCCGCCCTGTGGAACGCCCTTCCAGCAGATGTCAAAGCGATAAACAACTACCTGACATTCAGAAGACATCTTAAGGCAGCCCTGTTCAGGGAAGTTTTTAACGTGTGATATTTTACTGTATTTGTGGTTTTTATGGAAGCCGCCCAGAGTGGCTGGGGAGGCCCAGCCAGATGGGCGGGGTATAAATAATAAATTATTATTATTATTATTATTATTATTATTATTATTATTATTATTTCCACATCTCTGCTCATCTCTCCCCTTTGCTCAATTCAGTGGGGTTAGGATTTCATCTTAAGGCCTAGAATCTTGGTGGTGGTTTTAAAAAACCAAGATTCTTGGGAAGCTGGGTTCTGTGTCCAGTACCACATTTTGTATGTTTTCCTGTCCACTTTCCCCCTAGAGGTAACGCTGTACATGCTTACCTATTAGAAATTGAAATGCTGGCGATGCTTCACTTCCTAGAATCTTTATTTTCTTGAAAATGGGGAAAGTTACTCTGTAATTTGATTTTGCAAGATATTCAATCCGCCGGCTTGTGTCTGGCTCCATTTCCCCATACTGATTACAGGGGAAGGCTAGTACTGTGAAGTGGTATGGTCCAAACTCCCTGTGCAGTTCCTGCAGCATGATGTAATTTTTTTCTGTGTGCTGGCAGTAACTAGCCACGTTAACAACCAGAGACGCCTTCAGGGAGACAGAAAACAGGGCAGTGAGAAAGAGAGAGACTGCTTATGCCGAGGTTAACAAAATGGCTTCACATTCTGACCATCTCAGTTATTTAAATGTAGGAAAAGTATACATGTTCAGCTTAGCTTCAATTGCAGAAAAACAGCCATCCATTTATTCAGCATTGTTTTAGCTACTGGCTGCCACAAAGTAAACTTCTTCAATTGCAGGAAGGAAAATATTAGTACCAGTGATTACTGCTTAGGACTGTTCTCCCCCACTCTGGAGAAACTGCAGGGATTATGTAAACCAGTGTTTCCCAAACGTTTTTGGGCAACGGCACACCTGTTTACCGGAAAAAAATCTCGCGGCACACCACCATTAAAGCCCCGCCCCGTGACGTCAGCGCGCAGCGTCACGCCGGGAGGGACGCACAAAAGTCAAAGTTTTTTCCCTCCCCGCGAAGCAATGAAAGAGGGCGCCTCAACACCGGGAGGTGGGCAGGGAGCGGGGGGAGCGGCCAGACGGGCTCCGCTGGGGGACTTTCGGCTGCCGGAGGCGGGGAAGGGGCGGCTGCAGCGGACCCGGAAGTGGTTGCGCCCATCGGGGGCGGTGGGAGCGCGCCGTGCGGGTTGGTGGGTGGGGGAAGGAGAGGAAGAGGAGGGGGCGGCGGCGGCGGCCGGAGGCTGGACGGATCCGCGCAGGGACGGCGCGCGAGCCGGGAGGAGGCGCGAAGAAGGAGGCAAGGCGAGAGCAGCGCGGCTCGGGATGCATTCGGACTGCCGGCTGCTGCGCCCGAGACGCGGGGTATGGTGAGCAGCCCGGAGCGCCCGCTCCCCCGGGGGACCCGGCCGGCGCTGGCCTCCCTCCTCCTCCTCCTGTTGCTGCTCAGGCGGGACGCGGCGGCGCAGAAAGGTGCGTGCGGGAGCCCCGCCGGGAGGGGAGGGACCAGAGCCTTCCCGCCTTTCTTGCTTGGCGCCCACCCAAAAGCCCGCCGGGTTTTCGCGCCTTCCTCCAGTAGGCCGGCCGAAGCGAGCGGCGATGGGATGTGGGAGCTCGCTCGCTCGCCGCCCCGCGTGTGCTCGCCGCCGCCGCCCCGCCTCTCGCCGCCCGACTCGCCCGCCTCCCTCCCACGGCACACCAGCCGGTGTCTCACGGCACACTAGTGTGCCGCGGAACACCGGTTGGGAAACACTGATGTAAACCATCAGCAAGACTTCAATTCACCGAAATACATTGGCTAGATTATTCCTAATGTTTACAAAATCCAATTATTAACAGTAACTGATGCATTTTTTAAAGAAAGAAATGGGACTATTAAAAAGTCCAAGAATCAAACTCATCAATTGTTTGCATTTCACAATAGTTAGCCATTGGATTCTGCAGACGTTTGCAGCTTCTGTAATAAAACAAGAGAATCATTTTGATGACTTACAAAAGAACAGGCCTGTTAGAGCAGACCAAGAGGCCAGCTGGACCAGACCCTCTGTTGACAACAACCAGATGACTGTGGAAGGCTCACAAGCAGCACAGGAAGGCACCAGCCCCCCCCCCCCGTAGATGCTAGATCAGGAATGGGAAACCTGTAGTTCAACAGGTGTTGCTGAACTACAGCTTCCATTTGCCCTGAACGTTGGCCGTGCGGGCTGGGGCTAATGGGAATTCAAGTCTAACAGATCCCGTTCTGTGTGCTAGATGTTCATTGCATCTGATATTAGGAGAAACCCTGCCGTTGCTGAAACTACTTTGTTGGAAGTTAGAACGTCTCCATTTACACCAGCAAATATTATGAACTGTTTCTTGTACTCAGGAGACTTGGATTCCCACTTGCAGTATTCTTCTAACTGCTAAAATAAATCTACATTCACAGTGTTGTTGTTTTTTACAACCAGCCTGCATCTCAAAGGACGTAAAATGTCATTATTATGCACGGAGAAGACAATCGCTCCATGCAAAGATTTCAGAAACAAAATACGTGTCACTTACTTTGCCTCTGTATTTCTCCAACGAAACGGTCCTGCCTTTCGGATCCATCACTTCAAAGGAATAAAAGTCTTTGGGCTTTAAGTACTTAAGTTGCAGCAGGCCGAGTATGGCTGTGAACAAAACCATAGAGAAGAAAATGATTAAAACCCTGGTTTTCAGCCTCGAGCTTTTCAAAGAACACGCTGTCAGAGGCAGAGGCAGAGGCGGCTCCATTTTGGAGGATTTTGGGGGAAGTCTCAGCAGGCCTGGAATGTGAAGGAGGAGCTGAAACACAAAACTCACAGCAGCTTGGAAAGGGAGGTGGAAGAGGGAGCCAGAAGGCAGGCTGTGCCCCCCCCCCCCCCGCAGCCCAGACTTTGCCTAAAGTTCTAGGCTGCGGGGTCTAGAAACTGGTCTATTCTTTATATTTAGAAGAAATTTATTGACAGCAAGTCAGCATTTTAGATCCCTTTTTCCATTTAAATGCAATGCCTTCTGTTTTACAATTTGGCAACAAACCATATTTTCTTCTCGCTTTCCTTCTCCCCCACAAATGAACTAGTGGGCATAATCTGATTCTCAGACATCGCTTTGTTAATGTTAACGAGAATGTATGTAAAGGACCATGAACAGTTAGAAAGAGTAGGTTGGATCCAGGGTAAACAAACAAGCACAGAACAAGTTAAAGATCAGGTATATGATTGGCTGCACTATCTTCAAGTAAATGAAATGTTTAAAAAAGATTTGAAGGAAAAGGGATATGTAGAAAAAGAATCAAATTTTCAAAGGGATATAATAAATAATGAATATAAAACACTGTCAAAAATGTATAAGGTATTGTTGGAATGGCATACGAAAGATGAAGAGGTTAAAACGGTAATGATACAATGGGCAAAAGATTTTGGGTATAACATTCAATTTGAGGAATGGGAAAAATTGTGGAAAGAGAATATAAAATTCACTGCATGCACGTTATTGAAAGAAAATGTTATGAAAATGTTCTATAGATGGTATATTACACCAGTAAAGTTAGCAAAGATGTATAAGATGTGTAACAAATGTTGGAAATGCAAAGATAAAGAAGGGACATTTTTTCATATGTGGTGGGAATGCAAGAAAGTGAAAAGCTTTTGGGAAATGATATATAACGAAATGAAAAAGATGTTAAGATATACTTTTGTAAAAAGACCGGAGGCTTTTCTCTTAGGGATTGTAGGAAAGGATATAAGAAGAAAAGACTGTAAACTCTTTCAATATGCGGTAACGGCGGCCAGAATCTTGATTGCCCAGAAATGGAAACGAGGAAATACCGACGATAGAGGAATGGAGACTGAAATTGACAGACTATGCGGAATTGGATAAATTAACTGGGAAAATTAGATATACCAAAGACCAAAAGTTCATCGAAGACTGGGGAAAGTTTGTAGACTATCTGAAAAACATATGTGGTGTGAACACAACGCTAGCGGGATTTCAAGAGGCACTGTAAAAACGGAGAAGTATTGTCAGTAGTAAATAGTGGGAGAAGGGAAGTGTAATGGCAACACGAAAGGAGGATTGTGTAATTACAGTTATGAATATGGATGATTGTCAGAGACGCTGAGGGAAGTTCAAAAACAAATAAGAAGTAATTTGTTGTATTTTGGAAAACTGTACAAATATTTGAAAATTAATAAAAAAATTATGGGAAAAAAAAAACCAAACAAACAAGCACAGGCATGTCTACTCAGAAGTAAGTCCCATCAAGTTCAAAGAGGCTTATCCCCAGGTTAGTAGATACAGGATTGCAACCAATGTTAGTTGCACTTAATTCCCACTGGGACAAATAGGGCTTTTATCCTGTCAGGCTTTACACATTTATTTCACTGATACCTAAATGCCGCTAACTCACAGCACAATTTCTATACCAGGCTAGTAAATCCCTCTGAGTTAAATTGGTCTTATTTCCAGGTAAGTGCAGACTTACTCTGGAAGCAATCTATAAATAATAATAATAATAGCAACAACAATAAGTGTTGAAACAATATTTGACTGCACAAAACCTAATCCGTTAATTTATAGTGTGTTTAATAAATATAAGCAACTTTATAAACTATTATGTATCACCATTGTTATCACTTTACTGCTTTTTGTTTTAAACAGACTCCAGGCAAGACTTCCTATTCACATTTTAAAAGTTCCCTTGTGAAGAAACTGGCATCTTCTCCAGTTGCTAGTAGCCCAATTTCCACAAGGTGGCAGCAGTCACGCAGCAGAAACCAAGCGGAGCAAAGTTTTGCAGAGAGTCCTGCTACCTCAGATGATGGGCCTGATCTGATGAAAATCATGATAGTTCCAAGTCAGTGTACAGAGATGGGTGATTCCCTCAAAGTAAAGGGGTTATTCTAGTCATTACTCCATAACTCCAGATTAATAAATGCAAAAAACTTGAAAATGATATACAGGTGGTATTTTAACACCTAATAAACCTAATAAACACCTAATAAACTAGCCAAGATGTAGAAGACTATATCAAGTAAATGCTGGAAAGGCAAACAGTCTGAAGGATCATTTATTTCATATGTGGTGGACTTGTAGAAAAGCAACAGGCTTTTGGGAAATGATACATAATGAATAGAAGAATAAGTTTAAAATTGTGATCCCCAAAAGTCTGACACATTTCTTTTGGGAATAATACAGGGCGGAGGTCCCAAAAAGTTGGTTAGATTGTTTATGTATGCTACCACAGCAGGCAGAATTCCGTAAGTGCAGAAATGGAAAGAAGAAGAGGTTCCAACAAAAGAGGAATGGACTTTAAAACTATTGGACTGTATGGTGATGGCGAAACTGACGGCAAAAATAAGAGACCCAAAAAGGCGAAATGTTTGTGGAAGAGTGGAGATCCTTTTCAGACTCTGAGAAAATGCTATAGTCAAATGAAATTGCAGGCAGGACTGCAAATATAAGCAAAGGAATGAGAATGATAAAGGAATGTAATGTAGGATATATGTTATAGAAATAAGTATTACATTTAAGGCGGTAGATAAAGGATTTGAACAGAAATGTCATGGAAGTAAGGATGGGAAGTTAAGGGAATGTTGCATTGAAACTGAATTGAATTTGCTAAATTGTAGGAAAATAAATAACAATTTATGGATCAAACAATGCACAAAAAAGGACAGATCTCTGCTTTCTGTCTCTGTAAGCTGAATTTGGTAACATGGGGAAACTGTTCAACAATGGAACTACAGCTGACAGTGAACAAAACAGGTGATTAAAGCCTAACATTGTTTTGGTGTAACTAAACAAATAGAGCTCAACTAGTTTGGCACAGCCTGATTAATATTATTACTAGTCTAACAACAACAACAACATGTCTCAAGGTTCCTGAAAACCTGCCTCTTCATCTCCTGACAGTTTCCTGATACTTGACACAAACATCCTTAAAACACAATTAGAAGTACCGTACTTCTCCAGCTAATCTGTGCCAGGAAGCAAGTCCTTTGGACTTATGTGCACTGTCATAGCTGGAACAAGCTAAACTGTCATTTGCCAAAGGTGGGCTGGGTGGGTTTCTGAAGAGTCTGTATTCAAGATGAACCACAAAGCCACTGAAAGCCAAGCGCCATGAGAAATGTGGGTGGAACTGTGATTTGCGTATGAGCTGGAAATCACCACAGAAAGGGGCTGGGGAGCCTTTCTCAGCCTCGGGGCTGCATCTTGCTGTGGGCAACCTGCTGGCAGTCACCTGGGACCAGATGCAAAAAAAGTGCTTGGAACAATAGATGTGGCTCTTACTGTAGGATACATTCCAGCCATGTGGAAGTCAGAGGTCACTGCACACCCACCTGCGTTGTCTCTCCAACCAAGAAGGCCTTATCTGAGTTCATGGACACAGCCAGTGAGGCAAAAAGAGTAGAGGAGGACAAAGAGTAGGGCCAGTGAAAAGTGTGGCTGTTAAGTTGTGGGTGAACACATCAGATGACACAGCGATTCTTCAAACAGCTCTTGTTTATTCACAGGCCAGAACAGAACAGAACTGAAGGGTTCAGCCAGCCTGCTTATATAGAGCTCCACTACAACACAACAGTAACCACTTTCTGTAACTATCCAATCACTGAACGTCACTTTCAATCCCTTATTTGCATATGTGGACCTGGGTGAAAACTATCTACAGTATCCCCCTGCTGGCCCAGGGTGAGAACTTCAGTACATAACAGACACGGCCTAGGGAGGGTCCTAAGAGCCCAGATGTAGAGGGTTGGAGGCAGGGCTGGCCTTAGACATTTTGGCACCTGAGGCAGACCCCAAAATGGTGCCTCCTTCCCTGCTGAAGGAGAAAGGATGAGGGAAGATCTACATCAGGAGTAAGAGAGGAAGAAAGATCTACCTTGGGAACAGCTGCCCCTGTGGATTTTGACGCCTGAGGCGGTTGACTCAATTGATCTTATGGGTGAGCTGGCCCTGAATAAATATCTACATTGGGATCAGCTGCCACTGTCACCTCACCTCATGGGTGGCTGGCCCTGGTATTTTGTGCCCAGGACTGAGGTTTACTGCCCCTACTCTCATACACACCAAACTGCCTGAGCACTGTTCTTGCTGGGTCATCTTCTTCCGAAAGCGGTGCCTGTCCCTTCATAAACTCTGAGGCACTGAGGGAGGATGCAACCACCCAGCCTTCTGCCCTTAATGACCCTCCTCTTGCCACCCTCGTCTGTCTGCTGTTGCCAGCAGCGCTGTAGCTTTGTCCCCATTGTAGTTGGAGACAGTAGGGCAGTTAAATAATTTTAGGCTCTGGCTTTATCCTGCCGTCTCCAGATGCCAAGATGTGGTCTGATAGGGCCCCGTAGTTAGATGGTAATGTTTATTATTGTGAGCCCTTGTGGTCCGTCTGCAGAGTGGGGCCTTAAAGTCCTGGCACCACTTCTGGGAGAGGAGATGGGATGAAGGGACTACTGAAACAATGGTGTGAGAGGCACAGGATTATACCCTCCCTTGCTGTTGCAGTGTTTTAAAGAGGTGAGTCGCCCAGTCTTTAGGGGATGACCCGACAAATACCCAGTCAGTTTTTTAAAAATGAATCAGCAAAGTTTGTCCTTTGTTACAAGTTATGGTGCTGGTTAAAAGACTAGACTCCATGGCTGAAAATCTTTTGGTAGCCCTCAGCTATGCTTGCAATAGTTCAGTTACAGAATTATGGTGCTTGCATCTGGAGAACGACTGTTGGGCTGCAGTTCAGCATATATTGTACTCGAAAGTACCGTAACTTCAACAGAAATCAAATGGGACTTAAAAGCCAAGGGCTGTCCTTTTCTCCACCCTCTTCTCGGATTATAATACAGAATCTACAAGCATTAAGCATACCTGTACTGTTTTTCTCAAGGGAATATGGCATCTGCAACAAAATGTTGCAGTGCGGAGTGCTCCTGCTCAGGATTCTAGTCAGCCTGGAGACTCCATTTCCACATGGGGCTCGAACCCACAACTCTGAGATTAAGCGTCTCATGCTCTACTGACGGAGCTACCAAGGAGCTTTTGCTGGATCTGGGAGCAGACAGGAAGCCAGTAGTCTCTTCCTGCTGCCTGTATTAAGGGTTCCAGGAAGGCTGCGTCCAAGGGAGAATCAAACGGCTTCTGGTGAGCCTGCCTTTCAAGACAAAGCAGGCCTGTGGCTGAGAGATTCCTGAAAAAGCATACCAGTGAGGAATATGTGTTTAAGTTGAAAGTTAAGTTCTCATATAAAATTCCCTTCATGCCACTACATGAGTTTCACATTCGCCTCAAGAAGCGTATTATGTGAACTGGGCATTCACAGGGCAGTGGCAATTCCCAATATTAGGATGCCTGGGGAAAGTGTTGCCTTAATCATGGTATTTGCTGCTAATAAAGACTTTGATTTTTCCATTTGTGTTTATTTGAGTCCACATACTGTTAACTCACACAGTGACTCTCAATGTTTGTTTCGTTTTCTAGTTTGGTTTCTGGTGAGCTCAAATGCAGTGGGAACTTGTTATCTACAGATCTATGTGAAATGAAAACGGTGATCTGTTGTTTTCCCCCAATTTGGTTGAGTTTCTTCACGAGCCATGCAGGGAGGGGTGAGGCGGTGGCAAAGTCAGTGTGGTGCAAACGTGACAGTGAAGTTAATCTGTTGTTTCCTGCAGGGGTGTTTTCACTACACCATTTTGCCTCTTCCCCTCTCAGTCCCACTAAGCAGCAGCAACTAGGCCAGAAGGATGTTCGATAAGTGGCCCAGTCCCACCACACCATCTGCTACTGGATCTAAATATGCCATGCAGGAAATCAGATTTGGCCACACAATTGACATCACGGGGCTACTTCAGAGTGAGGGCAGTGTCCTTGCTCTGAATTGGCTTTATGATGGTGCCACATAATCAATCAGCTATGGCTGCATGAGGACATCACAACGCCCCTTGAAGCAAAAAGCGCTAACTTTGCTCAGTATAAAGGTAAAGGGACCCCTGACCATTAGGTGCAGTCGTGGCCGACTCTGGGGTTGCGGCGCTCATCTCGCTTTACTGGCCAAGGGAGCTGGCGTACAGCTTCCGGGTCATGTGGCCAGCATGACTAAGCCGCTTCTGGCGAACCAGAGCAGCGCACGGAAACGCCGTGTACCTTCCCGCCGGAGCGGTACCTATTTATCTACTTGTACTTTGACGTGCTTTTGAACTGCTAGTTTGTCAGGAGCAGGGACCAAGCAACGGGAGCTCACCCCGTCGCGGGGATTTGAACCGCTGACCTTCTGATCGGCAAGTCCTAGGCTCTGTGGTTTAAGCCACAGCGCCACCCGCGTCCCTTGCTCAGTATAGGTGAACACCGAAATCAGAGGCAGATTTTGGTCTTTCAAATTTCAGTGGCGCCCTATGCGAGGCCAAAATTTGCCCCCTGCATCTCACCTTCCATCCTGCTCAATTCACTACATTATAATTGCGGTGCCCTTCTTACATTATCTTTAGCTCTCTTTGTGTGTAAATGTGGCAGAGAGGTATCCTATCTATCCCCAAGCTCTAATTTCTTGCCAAGGAGACCTCTGTATCTCCTGCCTATTAGCTCCTATTGAGGAAATGCCAGCACCTGAACTATTCACTTCTTTTGTCAAGCCCAACACTCTGGCTAGAAATTGACTTTCAGCAAGGATGGGGAACCTGCAACCTTCCAGATGTTGCTGTACTGCAACTCCCATAATCCCTGGCCATTGGCCAAGCTGGCTGAGTCTGATGAGAGTTGGAGTCCACCATATCTGGCCACAAGTCCCTCCCCCTGCCTTAGGGCTAAATCATAGTGGATGTTTGTGTCACAAATCATTATAGCAATCCCATATCAATACAGTGGTACCTCAGGTTAAGTACTTAATTCGTTCCGGAGGTCCGTACTTAACCTGAAACTGTTCTTAACCCGAAGCACCACTTTAGCTAATGGGGCCTCCTGTTGCTGCCGCGCCACCAGAGCCTGATTTCTGTTCTCATCCTGAAGCAAAGTTTTTAACCTGAAGCACTATTTCTGGGTTAGCAGAGTCTGCAACCTGAAGCGTATGTAACCTGAAGCGTATGTAACCTGAGGTACCACTGTATATGGTGGTCAACAGATGTATTGTACTTTTGGCAAAATAGACCGTTACACATGGCGGATTAGAAAATGTCAGTCTTTTATCTTCATCCAACATGGCATCCCATAATATTTCACATATTTATCTTCTGTTAAATGTTTGCCACAAAGGATTTTCCAGGGTTCTACAAAATGTGGGACACTTCATGAGTACAGTAGCTCCCCACTTCAGATGTTTGCCCTCCAATCATGGAGGCCAAAGATGATGGCAATGGGAGGCAGTGTTTGTGCCTCGTCCGTTTTCCCATCCCATTGCATGTTGACTTAACAGCAAAGAAGTTCTGAAGAGCCAGTCCCTTAGTTGACACTCACTGAAGGTCAAAGCAGAGCTCAGTTTTGGAAAACAATAGTCTAAAACATTTTGACAAGCTTCTTTCTAGAGTTACTAGGGATATAAATATGGATCACCTAGAGGCATATCATTCTAATACAGTAGTACCTCGGGTTAAGTATGTAACTCATTCCGGAGGTCCGTACTTAACCTGAAACCGTTCTTAACCTGAAGCACCACTTTAGCTAATGGAGCCTCCTGCTGCTGCTGTGCCGCTGGAGCACAATTTCTGTTCTCATCCTGAAGCAAAGTTCTTAACCTGAAGCAATATTTCTGGGTTAGCAGAGTCTGTAACCTGAAGCGTATGTAACCTGAAGTGTATGTAACCCGAGGTACCACTGTCCAAGAAGTCACTTAAACTGTGACCCTCTGAAGTGCTAGGGTGGTAACAACATACCCAGGACCCCCTTCTTTCTTACAGAGAAGAAACTTACCACAGTAAGTACCAACGTTTGCTTATCTGATTTTCCCCTTATGAATTTCATATGTTTAGGTAGTCAGGTTAGGAGTGCAGTGGGTGAAGGAGGATAAGCAAACCCTCCTTTTGATTCTGCAAACAATGAGCTTGAACATGTGGATGACATCAAAGGCACAATTCCCATTCATTCAAATCAGGCAGCAAGTTTGCTTCCCATGACTGCGGCTGAATGCTTTTTGTTGTTGTTGTTGCAATCAGGATTATGATTTAGGCTGCTAATTTGACTCCAAGTTCAAGGTAATAGGTTGTATGTGGATGGTGAAATTCTCTGGGCCAGAGGCAAGAAAAACCCCTAATTATACCGACAGTATACTGAATATTGGAGCTAGATTTTAGAAGCGGGAGTTTAGATCACAGATCAGCATTTAGATCCCAAAGCTGGTCTTGGGTGCTGAGGTATCTGCTTCCCATCTGTTAAATGGGTGTTATAATTCAGCTACAGAGATGAATAATGTTATGTACTGAAGTTCTCACCCTGGGCCAGCAGGGGGATACTGTAGATAGTTATGCAAATGAAGGATCGAAAGTGACGTTCAGTGATTGGATAGTTTTAGAAAGTTGCAACAGTTATGTTGTTCTGGAGCTCTATATAAGCAGACTGACTGAGCTCCTCAGTTCAGTTCTGTTCTGGCCTTTGAATAAACAAGAGCTGTTTGAAGAATCACTGTGTCGTCTGGTATGTTCGCCCACAACCTAACAAATAAGATGAGCATAAAGTGAATCACAAGCAAACAAAGAAAAGCTTCATCAATATGTATCAAAAATGAGTATCATAAAATCATGTGATTAGCTAGTGCCATTGTTCATGACTGTGTCTATCCAGGAGAGGTGGTTGGGCGTGAGTCGAGCATAGATGCCAGGGTATCGGTGACTTTCACATTTCCTAACAAATGAGAGGATTCCAGTTTGTTCCCCATGGCATATTAAAGGACTACCAGAGTCACCCTGAGGAAAAGAAAGGAAAGGAGAGATTAGATGTTACCATTAAGCAGAAGCTGATCTATGGTCATAATATTCCAACAACAAATTCAGTTCTTCAATTATTCATTTTAACAAAATATTTTAATTAAAACAGTGACTGCAATGCAGCACAATACAGTCTATGGCAGGCTGAGGCAGATGGCACAGCCTATGAGCCCCAGAGTGTTTACCTGCTACTGACACCAGACTAATAATAATTATTATTGTTGATGCTGATGATGCTGATGATGCTAATACAATAATAACATCAAGCAGCATTAATCCAGATTGGTCCTCAGTCCATAAGTTAACACACTACATTTTAATAATGACTTCAACCTAGGAAGGATTTTGCCTAGCAAATCGGGATAAAATAAATAAAACTACACAGCTATAAGGGACGCGGGTGGCGCTGTGGGTTAAACCTCAGCGCCTAGGACTTGCCGATCATATGGTCGGTGGTTCGAATCCCTGCGGCGGGGTGCGCTCCCGTCGTTCGGTCCCAGCGCATGCCAACCTAGCAGTTCGAAAGCACCCCCAGGTGCAAGTAGATAAATAGGGACCGCTTACCAGCGGGAAGGTAAACGGCGTTTCCATGTGCGGCTCTGGCTCGCCAGAGCAGCGATGTCACGCTGGCCACGTGACCCAGAAGTGTCTGCGGACAGCGCTGGCTCCCGGCCTCAAGAGTGAGATGAGCGCACAACCCTAGAGTCTGGCAAGACTGGCCCGTACGGGCAGGGGTACCTTTACCTTTATCTTTACACAGCTATAGCTTGATCCCCCAAGTCATACTGGATAAAACACTAAGCATTGTTAAGATTATGAACTCAAATCTTCACCAAAAGCTGCATGCCTTCTTTAGTGTAGTCAAAACTTTAAGCAGCTAAATTTTACTTCATAAACAGGCAGAGGCTCAATTCTTAATAAGTGAGGGCCATTTCATTTCATTTTACTTAAACTGATTTACAGACTGATTGATTACAGAAGTTTCTAAGTGGTGATTAATTAGTTTTAATTGCACGTTGAGGCTGTTTCATTTTGTCTTAAACGACCTTTGGTATCATTCTATAGAAGAGTGTGTATATATATATATATATATGCAGGTTTTGGTGTCCTCGGGTGTCTTCCCGTGTAAAAGTTGGGGTGTCTAGGCGACGTTTCGACGAGGTCTCACTCGTCATCTTCAGGCTGGTGCTTTCGGCTTCTTGTTACTGGAACAGAGCAGGATCTCAGTGTTTGAGTTCCTATAAATACTGTTGAGGGGGTGTGGTGTATAGCCTCCAATGTTCTGGGCAGAGAGGAAGTTCCCAGGCTAGTGTGCCTATTCTTCTTTTGTTCCTTAATTACTTGAGGGATATCTTGAGTGATTTCTTGAGTGATATTCTGAGTACCATTTAGGTGGGTCATTAGGTGTGGATTAGTTCCCACCTAAATGGTACTCAGAATATATATATATATATATATATATATATATATATATATATATATATGCTTTCGTAGATTTTCACGGGTACAGGAATGCAGGTTTTGGTGTCCTCGGGTGTCTTCCCGTGTAGAAGTTGGGGTGTCTAGGCGACGTTTCGACGAGGTCTCACTCGTCATCTTCAGGCTGGTGCTTTCGGCTTCTTGTTACTGGAACAGAGCAGGATCTCAGTGTTTGAGTTCCTATAAATACTGTTGAGGGGGTGTGGTGTATAGCCTCCAATGTTCTGGGCAGAGAGGAAGTTCCCAGGCTAGTATAAGTGTTAAAGGTGAACATTCCTTCTAACTACGAATCAGGTGGCTGTACTTCATTCAATGCCTCAGGTTTCTTATTGTTTCTTATTGAATATTTGGTAAAAAAAACAATTTAACTGATTCCTCGGCTGATCAGTTGAAAGGCAAAAATTTCTTCATTTTTTGGAGGGGGGGGCAAGCAGCTGTAATTTTACGTTTGCATGAATGCAGAATTAGCTGAAAGAAACAAAGACTCTCTTACCATACACCTGTCGCCGCCGCCTTGCTTTTCACCAGCACACAGCATATTCATTGTCAGAGGAGGGTGAGAATTATAGTGGTGCTTGTCATTGCAGACCTTTCTGCTAATGATGGTGACGTTGGCTCCATGCAGTGTATCAAATCCGCTTCTTCTATTAATTGTTCCCCACCCAATTACGACACACTGAGTTCCACCCTTGATGTCATCATATGTGTGGGTAAGTGGAATGGTTTTTACAGGTGGCGGGTGGCCTTTTCCTGATTGAAACTGAAGGAATCATAAAAAGGATCTATAGTTGGGATCTATAGACAAGAAGCGGCCACAGATTTTCATGCAATCTACCTTAGGCTTCCTTCTAGCATAATATTAATTAATTAATAATAATAATATTTCCTTTATGAATTGCTCTCCACGAGGCATCCTGAAACAATTTTATATATAATTTTATATATAATTATATATATATATAAAGCCGTGTTAATGGAAGACAATCTTACTCGGCTACGAGTGATCACCAAAGAAGAAGATATAGATATATATCAGCTACATATAAAGAAGTTAAAATAACTGTAAAATGCTTTTGAGGTTTTATTACAATCAAGCTGCTTGTAAATTTCGTTAAATGAACACGTAAAACAATTGCATATATAAACACACACACACATGCAATTTAAAACGGCGATAGCACTTACATAAAATCAACTTACCTGCAAAAGCATAATGTCATTTTCATATGTCTTTGGATTAAATCCTGGGTAAGAAAATGTTTTGGTAATGTTAGCCTTGTGTTTTCCGTGCTCCATTTTAGTTCGTGAATAAGCTCCAAAAATCATGTATGTTTCTTCATCCCTGAAAAGATGAGCCACTGATAAATTCACCACACTGATATTTGATTTCCACCATTCTGAGTGTTTGCATTTGCACACTCTTCTTTATCCATATATGTATATATTTTGCTTGAGCTCTGACTGCGGGTGAGCAGTCATTTGAAGCTCATCACATATTCAGTATTAACTCTGCAGCAGCTGCCATTTTATCACCTTGCTCATTCTAATTTGTGACCACTCTTTTGTAGTCAGAAAGGGGTTTCAGCGCTAATTAAAAGATTGATGAAAAAAACTAATGTTATAAAATGGCGGCTGGCAGAAAGCTTCTGGCAAGTGTTTGCTGAGCTGTGAACGGTTGACTTGTTTGACAGGTCACTGCCCATGTCAAAATCCCACTGTTTTTAAAAAGACAGAAGAGTATCATGAAGGACTTCTACACCTGTGGAGACCATGCTACTCTTCCATTCTTCTGGAAAAAGTTGGATTTGTGGAAAATACATTTATTTGCTTAATTTGTATCTTGTCCTTCCTCCCAAAGGAGCCCAGGGCAGAAAACAAGAAGCGATAAAACAATGAAAACATCTTTAAAACAATTCCAATACAGATGCAGACATGTTGACAATGACTGGAGAACAGCGTCGTCTGGTTGCCTGTGAAAAACGAGTGAATAAAAATGGAAATTCCATACTAAAGGTGCAAACCAACGTAGCATGAAGGAAATTGTTCCATTTCTGCTTGCTTCTCCCCACCAACTCACACTACTCTGGGGAGTTTTCCAACTGTCCAGAGTGTACCAGCCAAGCATCTCTGGAGAGAACAGAACCAGAATGGAACTGATCTTCTCCATGAGCAGCCACACATGCACCAGCCAATTTAACTAATGACCTTCGCCCTGTCAGTTGTCACCACCCAGTTCATTTCTGCATACATTTTTGATACCCAATGTGTGAGGAGGTTCATATGAGGGTAGGTGCTTTCAGAGATTCTGATCCCAACCCAAGTAGAACTTTGTAGGTGACAGTCAACACCTAAATTGTACTCAGAAGCCAACTGTATGCTAGTGAAGATCTTTTTAATACTGCAAAGATATGTTCTAAGCCAGGGGTCAGCAAACTTTTTCAGCAGGGGGCCAGTCCACTGTCCCTCAGACCTTGTGGAGGGCCGGACTATATTTTTGGGGGGAAATTGAACGAATTCCTATGCCCCACAAATAACCCAGAGATGCATTTTAAATAAAAGGACACATTCTACTCATGTAAAAACACCAGGCAGGCCCCACAAATAACCCAGAGGTACATTTTAAATAAAAGGACACATTCTACTCATGTAAAAACATGCTGTTTCCTGGACTGTCCACGGGCCGGATTTAGAAGGCAATTGGGCCGGATCCGGCCCCTGGGCCTTAAATTGCCTACCCATGTTCTAAGCAGCTAGTATCTGGCTGTTATCCACATTTCAAGCCCACAGTTGGATATCCTTGTTCTCTTACCCTTCTTGAATTTACAAGCAGCTGCTGTAAGCAATGGATGTTATGAAGCAAATATTGCTACCTGACTTGAAAAGGTCCTTGAGAATTGATGCCAGGAAGAGGTTTCTACAAAGCATCAGTATTTCTCCAAACTTACGGAAAACAATGGGCTGCTGTTAACACCCAGTTCTGTTTGATCAAAGTTCCTCCACAGGACACACTATTTCCTTTGATGAGTGCAACCATATATGATCCTAAAGGTTGACCTTCTTCTATCCATTCAACTATATCTTGAGGTTGACCTGTAGGACACAAGTCATTTAATAATCAGGTTGGATTTGTAAACAGCTTTGAGGTTTTCCCCTCTTACAATCAAGTGGTATATATGTTTTATGAAATACTGTATTTTTCGCTCTATAAGACGCACCCGACCATAAGACCATAGTTTTAGAGGAGAACAAGAAAAAAATAATTCTCTCCCTCTCTGCTCAGCGCCTCTCCAGCAAAGCGTGAGGAGAAACAGAAGGGGCTCCGTTTCTCCTGCTGCTTCGCTGAAGGGGCGCTGAGCAGAAAGGAAAAGCTGTGCAGCGCCTCTCCAGCGAAGCGAAGCCAGGAGAGCAAGAGGGATCGGTGCGCACCCATCCCTCTTGCTCTCCTGGCCTCAGTGAAAGCTGCGCAGCCTGCATTCGCTTCATAAGACACACACACATTTCCCCTTACTTTTTAGGAGGGGAAAAGTGTGTCTTATAGAGCGAAAAACACGGTAGGTAGGTAAGTAAGTAAGTAAGTAAGTAAGTAAGTAAGTAAATGCAATGTGCTGCAGGCCAGTTCATGAGTTATGGGTGTGTGGGCAGGAACAGAGAAATTCTGTAAATATTTCATATTTTTAAATTCCCCCATTCCACCTCTTGGCAATTAGGTGCTACTGCTGGTCTCATCCTACCCCTAGGGAGGAAATAATGGGGACTGTCCTCTGGTGTCTCCTGGACGCTGTGCCTGCCTGGTATGATTTCAAAGCAGGCCCTTTCCCCCCCTTTGATGCGCTTTGATACCCACTTCAACCATTAGGTAAGGTTGATTTGATGCCTTGCCTTGTTCTCAATGTAGCTCTTCACTTACCTCTTCTTCCCTAGCCAGCAGGGGGTGCCATTTTCTGGTCTGCCTCAGATGTGAATTTTTTTGGGGGATGGTTCTGGTTTTTTTTTGTTATACAAACTGCTCTGATATTTATGAAGAGCAGCATATACATATTTATATCAATATAATAAAATAAAAACACATTCCCCACACCACAAAATAACTCTCACCCTCCAGTTCCCAGGAGTCTGTGAGGAGGGAAGTGTGCTTTAAATTTGTATGATATGCCTGCAGCCTGAGTGAAACTGAAATTGACAGATGGGTCCATCTTTAGACATACAGTACTTAACATATTCTGTTTCTTTGGCACGGTGGCTAGTTTTAGTTCAGAATTCCACATAGCTCTAAGAATGTTTTAATACACCCCGGCCCGGCCCACAGCCTCTATCCTCTGTCCTGCCGACCACCAAGGCTACCAAGGCTAGCATTAGGCTAGCAGGGAAAAACTTGCACCAAATTACTTTTTGGCCATGTGGTCGTTCTATATGCACCATGCTCTACATATACAGGAGGAGAAGAAGTGGGGTGTGCAGGAGACATATACAGATATAGCAACACTGACTTACCTCTCTGAATTTTGAGGAGGAAAATGGTCACGGAAAAGCACAAAACAAAGACACGCCCCATTGTTTGTGGCCCCCCACAATGAGATGTCTAATATGTATCGAGCATAGGAAGGAAGTGAGATTTCATTTCGTCGTCTCAAGGGCATCCTTTTATAAGCTCGGAAATTTGAAACACCCACAGTGAAGCCTCTGGGCTTTCTAGAGAGGTGCTGTTTATAGGCATCGGAGAGAGCCTGGCGATCTCAGTATGTATATCAACAGTTATTCAGCTAAGAGGTACAAAAAGAGAGAGAGAGAGAAAAGAATCATTGCTATAGCTGTTGCAGTTTTCAGGAAAAAGTACTTTAAAGGTGGCTGAAAACTGCAATACTGGCCAGACTGAAGAAAACACCTACCATTAGCTGGCATGATTATGACATCACCATTCTGTTCCTCCAGTGATTGTTGTACGATGAGATAATAGCGCATCATTCTCTGACAAGCATGCTCTGACAGATAACTACCCAAAATCAATCTGTCTCAGCGACCTCCAGCTGTAAAATGGGACAGGTGTATTCCAGAATATTGTAGGAAATAGTATAAATGCTTACACCTCCTTGGGAGGTGGTCTGAAACAGTTTTGGGATAATAAATTGTGTGTCTGTGGATAGCCTTAGTTGGGTATCAAGAGCAGATACCGTATTTTTTGCTCTATGAGACTCACTTTTTCCCTCCTAAAAAGTAAGGGGAAATGTGTGTGCGTCTTATGGAGCGAATGCAGGCTGCGCAGCTATCCCAGAAGCCAGAACAGCAAGAGGGATTGCTGCTTTCACTGTGCAGCGATCCCTCTTGCTGTTCTGGCTTCTGAGATTCAGAATTTTTTTTTTCTTGTTTTCCTCCTCCAAAAACTAGGTGCGTCTTGTGGTCTGGTGCGTCTTTATAGAGCAAAAAATACGGTAATTATGCAAGGAAGACTGGGGAGCACTGCCCAAACACTTTCCCTGCCCACCAGCGCAGAGGGGAGCCCAGCCAGCTGAAGCAACACTTGGTGGGTGCAAACCAGGTGCCCCCACACCGGTGATTCCAGAATGGCATGGGCCCAGTGCGCTCTCTGCGAGCACTGTTTCCCCTGACACCAGAAGAGGAGCACCAGGCATCATTGTGCTGTGGGTGCTGCCTTGGGGGTGCCTGTTTTGCATCCCCTCAAGAATCTGCACCCAGGGCAATGGCCCCTCTGGCACCCCAACTGTATGCCCCCTGAATGGACTCGCTACCACCTCTTCCCACAGTTCAGAGATAACCTGCTTTTGTTCCATGTTATAGGCTTTTTAATGCTCTGTGATGTGGTCTCAGCCATGGCCAGAGCATAGCGTAGCATAGAGAAGTTGGTTATCCTCAGAGTCCCCTGTGGTTTTAATTTAAAGCAGGTGTAAAAAAACACACCCTTCAATGTTGAATTCATAAATTACAAAGAAACAAGAAGTTCCGGATTCAGTTTCTGTTATGTGCATGAAAGTTGCTGTCACTGCTATATAAAAACCTTTTAAATCAGTGGTTCTCAACCTGTGGGTCCCCAGATGTTGTTGGACTACAACTCCCATCATCCCTGAGCTCTGGCCTTGCTAGCTAGAGGTGATGGGCGTTGTAGTCCAACAACATCTGGGGACCCACAGGTTGAGAAAGCCTGTTTAAAATGGTCATTAAAATGCAGGATTGTCAGGAATGTGGCCCCCCAGAGCACACTGGGAGAGCCAGCCTCTGAAATTGAGGTGCGTGAGGAAGAGGTTGACTCTGTTGATGAGAGCTGTCTGTTTGATTTTAGAGAGAACAGCCCAGGGCCCCTCCTCTCCAGGGAAGAAGTGGTTAGTTCCCAAGGCGGGGGGGAGAGTTGGAAGTCGGCCAAGGCGTTGCCAGGCAACCAGCAGATAAGAAGGCGTCGAGGCTGAGTCTTCTGGGGAAGAGGTAGCTCAGCCCTGCAGTCCTAAAACAAGGAGATTAGAGAAGCTCCAAGAGCAATGGAAGGGAAGGAGACGGGATTTTGGCGTTCTTCCTGTTGGGGGAGGAATGATGAGTCAGACTGAGCAACTAAGATTAATGAAAGCAGGCAGAACCCCATGCTCTGGATGTGTCTTTCCTTTAAATAAACTTGTATAAAACTGATGGAGAGCCTTCGTTGCTTATCAGGCTGCTCGCCTGCCAGAGATCATTATACAGATTGTGTCTCATATGTGGCAGGATCGGCCAGAACATAAGGCCAGACATCAGTTGGATGGAGCAATGAACTGAGAGTGTAACTTCTGCTCTCTCAATGAGACAATTAGACCTCCACTAGAACTCTAGGGTGGCAAGCTATGCCTTGCCAAAAAAAAAAGTAAAAAGGTAAAGGTACCCCTGCCCGTACGGGCCAGTCTTGCCAGACTCTAGGGTTGTGCGCTCATCTCACTCTATAGGCCGGGAGCCAGCGCAGTCCGCAGACACTTCCGGGTCACGTGGCCAGCGTGACAAGCTGCATCTGGCGAGCCAGCGCAGCACACGGAATGCCGTTTATCTTCCCGCTGGTAAGCGGTCCCTATTTATCTACTTGCACCCGAGGGTGCTTCGAACTGCTAGGTTGGCAGGTGCTGGGACCGAACGACGGGAGTGCACCCCGCCGCGGGGTTTCGAACCGCCGACCATATGATCGGCAAGTCCTAGGCGCTGAGGTTTTACCCACAGCGCCACCTGTGTCCCTAAAAAAAAAAAAAAAAGTATCACCCCCCAAAAGACAACAACATATGGCAACAGTTTGCCCACATGCTGATTTTTATGTATGGAATAGACGAAACTTTAGAAATTATTACTATAATTTAAATGGGGCTGACTGTGGGCATAGAATTTCCAGGCCTCACCTGCTCTGCAATCTTATGGCACTTTCAACCAGACATGGAGACCACAGTCCTCCAAACGGAGGATGGCCCTCTGTGAAGTATGACAGCTGGCCCACAACCCTGCTAGATCTCTGTGGCCTGGTTCACACACGCAGCTCAACAAGGGTGCACCCTGAGGTGTTAGGCAAAGTGGCCTGTGTCATTTCAAAATGCTGTTTCTGAATGCTCTTCCTCTGCAAGTAAACCCACAAGCCCATTATGAAAGATTCTAGTCAAATCTGCTCCCTCGTGTGCTGCTTCTCTGCTTGCAGAGTATCGATCGTATCAGAGGCACCAGCTTTCAAGGGCAATGGGGGGGGCAAGGTCATGCGTGTGACGTCAGAATGCTGGGAGGAGCTGGGGGCTGAGCCGAACACAGCGGCCGCGTGACTTCAATGGCTGGCAGCTCTTCCTCCGACTCCTCTTGGGGCCGCCTGAAATGCTTCATTGCAGTCTAGTACCTCAGAACTCTGCCGCTGCATCCCCACCTCATTCTGCTGCATGTGAGTTTCATATCCTTCAATTTTTCTTAACTGAGAGATGGTCCTAGTACATAAAAGGCCATGACAAGGATGAATGGCATGCTGGCACCCATCTGTCTCGAGGGAATGGAGTGTGCCTCCGGGAGTGAAATTGAAATGCTGTGTTAGCAGCACCTAAGTGACCAGGTTGGGACGCGGGTGGCGCTGTGGGTAAAAGCCTCAGCGCCTAGGGCTTGCCGATCGAAAGGTCGGCAGTTCGAATCCCCGTGGTGGGGTGCGCTCCCGCTGCTCGGTCCCAGCGCCTGCCAACCTAGCAGTTCGAAAGCACCCCCGGGTGCAAGTAGATAAATAGGGACCGCTTACTGGCGGGAAGGTAAACGGCGTTCCGTGTGCTGCGCTGGCTCGCCAGATGCAGCTTTGTCACGCTGGCCACGTGACCCGGAAGTGTCTCCGGACAGCGCTGGCCCCCGGCCTCTTGAGTGAGATGGGCGCACAACCCCAGAGTCTGTCAAGACTGGCCCGTACGGGCAGGGGTACCTTTACCTTTACCTTTTAAGTGACCAGGTTTCAAGTCTAGGCAGTGTCTATGGAGGTCCTGGGCTGCCCAAATTTTCAAGGGGCCCTCTTGGCCTTGCTGATGTTGTCCAAAGGAAACTAGAGCAATACAAATGGGACCAGCTTGGCTGCAGGAGTTGCCAGAATGAGGCATATAAGGTGCTATCCAACCGTCTTAGGGATGCCGGATTTGTGTAGGGCTTACTCCTTAGCCCACTGGTTTTCAACCAGTGTACCAGTGCCCTCAGGGTACCCTGAGGTGCCCTGAATGATGGTCAGGGGTGCCACGGGCAACACTGGCCTCTGGGCCTCTTTCCTTCCCTCCCTCCTCTGATGCCCTCTTGCATCTCTGCCTCCCAAAGGCTTGCACAGCTGTTTGTTGCAGCAGCCCTGTTTACAAGCTCCCTGGGCGAATGATGCCTCTGGGGCTTGCCAAGGGGCGCTGGTTGCCAGGAGCTGAGATGGCCTCGGAGTAAGCAAGCAAGGCAGGTGAGGGAGCCCAGCCACAGTCCGTCAGCCCTTGCTGTTGGGAATGGACAGACAAGTCCCACACCCTGTGGGGCAGTGGGAGGAGGCACCTCCCTTTGGGGCGGGGGGGGGCAGCTCAGATACCAGGGGGTGGCAGCAGCGGCTGCCCAGAGGACTCCTAAGGAGAGGGGAGAGGAGGCTGAGGAAACACTCCATAAGGGAGGGTGTTCAAAAAAGGGTGAGAGGCTGCCAGCTCTGCAGGCAAGGGGTGACATAACTGGGCTCCTGAGCCCCACAGGAGTGCCGCAGAAAGAATGTAGCTGGTCAAGGGAGCCATAGACTCAGAAAGGTTTAAAACCTCTGCCTTAGTATTTTCTTCTCCTGAAATATCCTGCACAGCAGTGCAGGTTTCGGATCAGAGTTTTCCTTCTCCCAGATGGGCTACCTGCCCAGGTTGACAAGCCCCATCTGCCCCTCACTTCCCTCTAGACCTCTAGACCACAATAGGTCTCGTTCCTTCAATCTGCCAGAGCCTGTGTTTGCATGCAGGGAAAGTCACTAGCTCAACGAGGGTTTGAGACCCATCTGCTACCCTCACCTGGTTTAGCCAGCCAGTTGAAGCCGTTCCTGGGGTCTGTCCACTCTCGCATGCTGAGAGCTTCTAGGAGGTGCAGGTGAGTGTTGAGTGCAGGGAGGGGGACCAAAGGTGGACAAACTATCCAAAAGCAGCACAACATGTCCCCCACCAGAGATACTACCCCTCCCATAACATCCCATACAGCCCGTGGGTGTATGAATGACATGAACGACATGCTCATGAAGTAAAGCAGCTAGCAAGGGTTTTTTGTTGTTGTTTACATTTGATTTTATTAAAGCCAGATCAACGGGTATTTGGAGAGAGAATCACAAAATCAAACCAACCATCTATAGGTTGCCTCCAATCGTCTTTTGTATCCAGGAGATATGCTTCTTTGTGAGAAGAGTATAGACGCCAGGTTGACGTTTATCACCACATGCTGATTTTCCACCAAAGGATACAGTGGCTTTTTGTTCCCCGTTACATATCAAAGGACCACCCGAGTCACCCTGGTGGGAAAAAGAAGAGAGAGCCTTGACAAGACTATTCCCTGATTCATATCTTTCTTTGCTCACATTCTCAAAATGATAGTAATATCCGCCCACCCTTCCCCACAGGTGGGCAGGGTTTGCGGCACCAAGTGAGGCTCACCTGGGCGGGTGCCACCCACCTGCTTGAGCTGGCCTTTGACCCGCCCTCGGCCAGGGAGGACAATGGACGGCCGGCCGGGGGTGGGCCTAAGGCCAAAAGAAAAGAGGCTGACCCCTGAGCTCAAGCCTCTTTTGCTGTTCTTCCATCTGGGATCACCCACCCACCCTCCCTCAATTAATATTTCTTGCCTTTTAATTTCAGCTTAGATTAGCGTTCTTCAATTTAACGATTTCTTCTTTACAGGCTAATATTTTGCGTTCCAGGTCAGCGGGCGCTGCTGCGGTCGTAAGATGGTTGCTGTATTCAGAACTGGGAAGGAATTTTCCCTGCATTGGCAGGTTTTGCCTTCCCCGTAGCAATTTCGTCACAACTTTGGCGGTTTTAGGCCTTGGCAAGGTAGCATTTAGTCTAACATCAAGTTGGGGGGGGGATGCATTCATGCTCCCTCCCCATGCGGCGGTGTGTGCAGGGCCTGTTAAAGGGCAAACCGGGAATCCCTGGCCCTAGAGTGGCGGCATGTAGGTCAAACTCCCCGGACGAGGTCAGTGGAAGGGCATGCTGTGTAAGTTTGCGCTTTGCAGTCCCCTCTCACTGGGCCTCAACTGCCTGCATATCCTCAGCCAGGCGGGCTGAGAGGGTTACCTGCCAAGGCCTGTGCCAAGTTTCCCACTTCTGAAGTTCAATAAAGTTGTGGCCAATTTGAACCCATACTCTGGTCTCTTGTGTTATCATTTGGGGAAAGGGGTAGGCACCACAGACAGGGTTTAGCGCGTGTGCCCGCAAAAGGAGAGTTTTGACAAATTAAACACCTGCATTTCATGATTTCCCTACAGGACAGTCCTTCAACTGTTCTCCCACTATACAGTGGTACCTCGGGTTAAGTACTTAATTCGTTCCGGAGGTCTGTTCTTAACCTGAAACTGTTCTTAACCTGAAGTACCACTTTAGCTAATGGGGCCTCCTGCTGCTGCCGTGCCGCCGGAGCACAATTTCTGTTCTTATCCTGAAGCAAAGTTCTTAACCTGAAGCACTATTTCTGGGTTAGCAGAGTCTGTAACCTGCTTGCTCTGCTCACCAAGTCCCCTACCTTCCTCCATATTAACTCCCTTTCCACCCCAGTTTGCTTTTCACCTCCTCAACCCCATTTTTGAAACCACTTCTCTCTTTTATTCCACAGTCTGGCTTTGCAACCCTATTTTCACCTTTGCCCCAAGTCCACACTTCCTCCCTGCTCTTTTTCTGCAACCCTCCTTCACATAAATCACTCCCTAACCCTGGTAACCTCCTGTATCTTCCTCCTCCTACACCTTACCAACTACTAAGCAGACTTGTGCGTTTATTTGTGTGTGATGGTAGCTAATCAGGGGCCCATCATAGCTGTAACAAAATCAAGGTCTGATTAGGCACTGGCTTTTCTTTAGTTTGGGACGCGGGTGGCGCTGTGGGTAAAAGCCTCAGCGCCTAGCGCTTGCCGATCGAAAGGTCAGCGGTTCGAATCCCCGCGGCAGGGTGCGCTCCCGTCGTTCGGTCCCAGCGCCTGCCAACCTAGCAGTTCGAAAGCACCCCCGGGTGCAAGTAGATAAATAGGGACCGCTTACTAGCGGGAAGGTAAACGGCGTTCCGTGTGCTGCGCTGGCTCGCCAGATGCAGCTTGTCACGCTGGCCACGTGACCCGGAAGTGTCTGCGGACAGCGCTGGCCCCTGGCCTCTTGAGTGAGATGGGCGCACAACCCTAGAGTCTGTCAAGACTGGCCCGTACGGGCAGGGGTACCTTTACCTTTACCTTTTTTCTTTAGTTTATGCTGAAACTCTGCAGAAACATTTTTCTCAGACCTTGCCCAGGCCTGTTGTTTTTAAGGGCAGGAAAGGCACTACAAAATAATTGCTGCTTTTCTCTAAACTGCTGTTTCTACTCTAATCTTCATTGGGCTGTTATAATAATAATAATAATAATAATAATAATAATAATAATAATTTATTTATTTATTTATACCCTGCTCATCTCACTGAGTCTCCCCAGCCACTCTGGGCGGCTCCCAATCAAATGTTAAGAACAATACAGCATTAAATATTAAAAACTTCCCTAAACAGGGCGGCCTTCAGATGTCTTTTAAAGATAGGATAGCTGCTTATTTCCTTCACATCTGAAGGGAGTGTGTTCCACAGGGTGGGCGCCACTACCGAGAAGGCCCTCTGCCTGGTTCCCTGTAACCTCACTTCTTGCAACGAGGGAACCGCCAGAAGGCCCTCGGCCTGAATGTCCGGGCTGAATGTCCGGTCTGAATGATGGGGGTGGAGACGCTCCTTCATGTATACAGGACCAAGGCCGTTTAAGGCTTTAAAGGTCAGGACCAGCACTTTGAATTGTGCTTGGAAATGTACTGGGAGCCAATGCAGATCTCTCAGGACCGGCGGCCACTCCCAGTCACCAGTCTAGCTGCCACATTCTGGATTAATTGCAGTTTCCGGGTCACCTTCAAAGGTAGCCCCATGTAGAGTGCTTGCAGTAGTCCAAGCGGGAGATAACCAGAGCATGCACCACTCTGGCGAGACAGTCATTTAATTCCCAGTTGGGGGAATTTCACCAAGGAAACACTGTATTTAAAAGTCTTGAGTAAACAGAGCTACTGTAAACAGAGCTAATTATTCCTCCTTATATGTATCATGCTACTGAACAAGGTGTCAGTCACAAGAGAGTTCATATTTGCGGACAGAAATGGTAAATAAACAAGCTTACCACACACGCATCCTTTCCTCCCTTCTTGTCTCCAGCGCACACCATAGTCATTGTCACAATAGGACGATTATAGCCATCATTGCATATTTTTCTGTCAATGACGGTGACGTCAACTTCACGCAGGGTATCAGATGGCTTCTTCTGTCTGTTTTGAGTAATTCCCCATCCAGCTACATGACACTTGGTTCCTGCCTTGAGATCATCGCCCTTTTTGGTAAGCTTAATGGTTCTCACATCTTTGTTAATCTTTGCTGTTCCATTAAGCTTAAAAGAGATGGAAGAGAGAGTGGGGTGTGGGTGTGTGTAGGGAAAACCAACACTTATTATTAGCAGGCAGTGTGGTGTAGTGGTTAGTGTGTCAGATTAAGACAAGGGAGAGCCAGGTTTGAAGCTCCATTCAGCCATGAAACTCTTTGCTGGGTCAGTCAGCCTAACCTACCTCACTAACAAAACTGCTAAAAATGTGCTGATCTTCAATTTGAAACATTCCACACAACCGTATTTTGTAAGCAACAGTGGGTTAAATAAGTTAATGAATTTATAAATACACTTTTTTAAAAAAAGAAGTTTTCACAATGTTCTGTGCAGTAACAAAGAACACCAACCAGACTTCACTTTTGAAATAACCAAGCAGCCCATGATAAAGTCAGGATGCTATCAGCAATTCAGTGCATCATATAGGTAGGTCTGAAGGGACACAGGTGGCGCTGTGGGTTAAACCACAGAGCCTAGGACTTGCCGATCAGAAGGCCGGCGGTTCAAATCCCCGCAACGGGGTGAGCTCCCGTTGCTCGGGAAGGTAAACGCCGTTTCCGTGCGCTGCTCTGGTTCGCCAGAAGCGGCTTAGTCATGCTGGCCACATGACCCGGAAGCTGTACGCCGGCTCCTTCGGCCAATAAAGCGAGATGAGCACCGCAACCCCAGAGTCGGTCACGACTGGACCTAAAGGTCAGGGGTCCCTTTACCTTTACCTTTATCGGTAGCTCAGTTTACATCAGGTAATGTAAGGGAAAGTGGGGGGAAATCTTCAGGGTCCTCCTAAAAATACTGATTCCACTAACTCTCTAGTCAGCAGCTAATTTTATGGGGCCCTCCTCAAAATCACTTTGAGGAAGAAAATGGACCAACCCCAATTCCAATGAACTGCTTGCTAATCTGGGTGTGGACAACTTGGTCCTCCAGATGTTGCTGAACTACAACTTCCATCATTCCTTGCCTTTGGACAGGCTTTCTAGGGCTGATGAGAGTTATAGTTCAGCAATATCTGGAGGTTCAGAGGTTTCCCACTATAATAATAAGTCACTATACCAGGTGCACTCCATGGTCTCTTGTGACAGACAGATGCCAACACCACCACCTTGTATATCCCTCACTCTCTTGTGCAATTGGAGAATGGATTAATGTTCTTCACTGGGGGGAGATATGGCCCCTCCTGGCCTCCTATTACTGAATCCTACCATAACCGCCTCTGGATGCTGCCAGATCTTCCCTTACAGCCACCCCCTGCTAATTGGATCAGAGGAAATTAGTCATGCTCTACTCCCATTAAAATCAGTGTGGCAGGTTAGCCAGAAAACCTCCCTGGATTCTGCCTCCTGGGCATCTAAATAGATCACAGCAGGCTTAACAGCTTACCCAACCCTCTCCCCATCTCTCTGAACATCCAGGCTTATGGTTGGGAGGGGGAGCATTTCCTATCACCCAGACAATGCCGCTGTTATGCTCAATCTTTATGACTCCTTTTCTCTACCTTACGTCAATAACTTTACTCCGCCAGTGTTTACCCCATTGCCAAGGCAACCGGCATATCACTATCATAGAATTTCATAGAAATGGAAGGACGTCTAGTCCAACCCCGGCTCAGTTCAGAGATCATGCTTGGCCAAGTGTGCGCCTCTTGCAGCAGCTGTGAGGAGTCCACCTATCATGATGCCATCAGTGGGTGTCACTGTCAGCAAACTCCCAACACTCCTCAGGGAAAAGAAGAAGAAGAGTAGAAGAAGAGTTTGGATTTGATATCCTGCTTTATCACTCCCCTTCAGGAGTCTCAAAGCGGCTAACATTCTCCTTTCCCTTCCTCCCCCACAACAAACACTCTGTGAGGTGAGTGGGGCCGAGAGACTTCAGAGAAGTGTGACTGGCCCAAGGTCACCCAGCAGCTGCATGTGGAGGAGCGGAGACGCGAACCCGGTTCCCCAGATTACGAGACTACTGCTCTTAACCACTACACCACACTGGACACAACATGGTTGCTTCCCTTAGCACCTATATTAGAAGCATGTGCCATTTGGAGATATACCTGCAGAAGCATAAGGTCATGTTCTTTTGTCGTCTCATCATAGCATGGGTGAGCAATTTGTCTAACAACCCTAAATATCTGCTGGGTATCCTCATGTTTAGCAAATGAATGAGCTCCAAGAACAACTGTGGGAGTTTTCTCCCTAAGAAGATAAAGAATATGGATAAGTTAAAGGATGTCCAAAGTTCACTAGCATATGTCAGTTTCACATATGTTCATTTACAAATCCATTCCCTTTCTGCATCAATCTGCATTTTTATTAAAAACCACACAAAATTTTACCTTTTTGAACTTACTTTGCACAAAATAAACAATTTAATGCATTCTACCCCAATCTGCTCCCCAATGTATTATGAAATATGCATTTTTATACACATTTTAACCTTCAATATTCATTTTTATATGCATTTTCCTAGGTTTTTTTGAGCCAAGAACTGTATTGCAAGATTTAGAGATATGTGCAACACTCAAAGGATAGCTGTGCTCTGATATTAAGCTGGCAATTGCAAATCTGATAGCATCCCTACATGGGCAGTATTAAGTTTGTGAACCACCACCAACAAAAACAGAAACAGAAACATTTCTTGAAACTTACAGACAATGGGCTGCTGTTAACACCCAGTTGGGTTTGATCAACGTTCCTCCACAGATCTGGCGTCCTTTGATTAAGGCCATGTAAGGTCTTGAGTGTGGTTTCGATTCTTTCCCTCCAATTATATCTGCACATCGATCTGAGAAAGGGGTGGTGGTGTTAGTCATGCTAATAATCACAATGGGTGGCATACACTGCCGTAGTAATAATAATAGAAGAATAAATAATAGAGGAAAATGAGTAATGAAGGAAAAGAATGTAATTCACTCCAGGAAGCCTGTGTAACTGATGGCCCATCAAACTGAAAACTGCTCCCCGGCCATGTTATTCTGGTGGCCCAACCAGGTGATTGACAACCTGCCTCCTGTTTCTGCAATTCCAGGCAGTATTAAAACAGGCTTAGCGTGCCTTTGGTGAGCTGCCGTAAGTGGCTGGTGGGCTTGATGGATCACTCCTTGTGCTGACCTCCTGCATGAAGGATCAAGACAGGTGCATACAGAGAGGCAGAGATTACTGGGTGCTCGCTTTGTGCTCAGCAGAAGCTGAGGGTGGTGCCAATTGTTAGATCAGGGGTGGCAAGTCTCAAACTCAGCCCTCCAAATCTGGCCCTTTGGACTCTCCCGAAGCAGCACCCCCTACTCACTATACAGTGCCTTTATGAGCAGAGTGTGATCAGAGGCAGTAATACGAGCTGACCGGGATAGATCAGTTGGTAGAGTACAAGGCTCTTAATCTCCGGGTTGTGGGTTCAAGCCCCACCTGGCAGGGAAAGATTCCTGCATTGCAGGGGGGTTGGACTAGATGACCCCTGCGGTCCCTTCTATACAATTCTACAGTTCTATGATTCTAAATACTAGCTGCTGGGGAAGGGGAAGGGGCTGCGCTTCTGTTCACCCTTCTGATTAGAGACACAATACAGTGGGAGCTGAAGCCATTTACATAGCCATCACACATGAGGCATTTGACAGAGCAGCATTGCTCTCAGAGGGAAGGATAGCATTTCCCCAGCAGTAAACGCTGCCAAATGAGGTCCGTGATATAGCTCAGCCAAAAAGGTACAGTATCAGGCTCACCTTTCAACTTCAACTGGACCAAACTGGTGTGCAGGTTCCCTTACTTTGTAAATACTGAAAGGAGCACACATATTGTAAATCAATTGCCAGTTGCTTTAAATGATTTTAATATTGCATTTTTAAATTGTTGCAACCCACCCTGGGACCTGATGATGAAGGGTGTGTAAGAAATCCAACTAATACTACTACAACTAATATATTTTAAGCTAATGATTGAACAAAAACAAGATTTCTTTGCTTAACCAATTGATTGCATTACATTGCAATCTCTCTCTCTCTCTCTCTCTCTCTCTCTCTCTCTCTCTCTCTCTCTCTCATATAATGGGACACTTACCTCTTGGAATCCCGAAGAGAAAAATGGCACTGAAGAACCACAAGTCAAAGAAAACACCCATCGTTGCTGCTTTGTGTTCCCCCACATCAAAGTATCTGGTATATATACACAGTGAGGTTTTCTTCTTCTTTCTCTTTATGGATGTTCATTTTGAAACTGAAACACCCACAATGTGACCTCAGAAAGGTGTCGGTCATTTCCAGGCAAGAGAAGTTTGTGTCATTTAATGAACCAACATGACCAATGAATTGGGGAGGGAATGAGAGACAGGCTTACCCTGTGTTCCCAGGAGTGCTTTACTGATATTTCCTATCATACCTGAGGTTGCTGTGTAAAACTGGGTGACGACTATTGAACCTAGTGGAATGTTTTGGGTAGGCAATTGCTTCCTGCTGAGTCAAAAAAAAGCTTGAGAGATAACGGACTTCCACAGACTTCTTCTGTGGAAAGGAGCTTATAACCTGTAATATTACTGTGATAAATGAGTAGACCATAATGTTAGTTCCACATTTGTGAGAAATTGACCTTTTATTGTGGAAGCATCTGACCTCTGGAACTCCCTGCCTATTGATATGAGGAAGGCACCTTAGTATTTTTGACACCGGCTAGAAAACTTTTTCGTTTTTCGTTTATTTTGTTTTAGGCAAACCTATCCAGACACATAGTTTTATTACACATATTTGCTTTTAAGATCTGTTGACGGGGTGAGCTCTGGTTGCTCGGTCCTTGCTCCTGCCAACCAGCAGTTCGAAAGCATGTCAAGTGCAAGTAGATAAATAGGTACCGCTCCGGCGGGAAGGTAAACAGCATTTACGTGTGCTGCTCTGGTTCGCCAGAAGTGGCTTAGTCATGCTGGCCACATGACACAGAAGCTGTCTGCGGACAAACGCCGGCTCCCTCAGCCTATAGAGCGAGATGAGTGCCACAACCCCAGAGTCATCCGCGACTGGACCTATTGGTCAGGGGTCCCTTTACCTTTACTATCCAGACACGTAGTTTTATTACCGTACATATATTTGCTTTTAAGATCTGTCAATTTTATCTATATTTTGGTAGTGTATCTACTGTTTTTAAAGCCTTATTGCTGTTCATTTTAAACATCTGATACCATTTTATATTGCAGGTAAAGATCTGGACTACTGGACCAATGAGGCTCCCCCCCCCATAAATGGCTTGCTTCTTTCTCAGTGTCCTTAGTGGGGGGGGGGTCAGGTAAACCTCCGCCCACATCTAAAGGATGCATGAGGCAACATGGGCTAATCAGGCAGGACCTGCCACTCATATCTCTGCCAGTGAAAAAAAGACAGTCACGGAACCAAGAAATTACACAAAACAAAAGAATTGCCGTGAAAATCCCTGAAACAAGAAGTAATCGACTATAGAATTAAATGAAATAACAAAAATTAAAAAAATTAAGGAAAAATTAACCTGAAATTAACAAAGACTTAAGGATATGCTGGCTACAAAACTCGTTTTACTGAACTAATCAGTTTCCTCAGAAGGAAATAAAGAAATTATAAGCCTTAAATGATTTTAAGTGATATCAAACAAACTCAAGAGCAGGGCTGAAATGCTTCCCTGAGTTTACAAAAAAGGTATGAAAACCTCAATGATAAGTTTTAAACATAGCCCTATTTAAGAGAACCAAGCGGTAGTAATAAGAAATTGAGGACTCTAGTATTGCTTTCACAAAATGGTTTTAAGAAAAACTTACAAAGGAATACGAGATAAGCTGTTTAGGTTTCAAACAAACTCAAAAACAGGGCTGAAGCGCTCCTGACTGCTGATGTTAAAGACTCATATCTCTGCCGGCTGCACATTTGGCAGGCTTGAGAAGGGACTCTTTGCAGATCTCAGCACAAGCGCATAAACTCCCTCCACACAAAGATTTGTGTGCCATTTGATTCATCCACATGAAAAGAAATGCCTTTGAAACACTATAGGCGCCATGTGCCAATGTGCCAAAGCAACTGAGATGGTGGAGAATGATGTTCCTCAGAGCCTTCTGTGAAGTTTACTTTTTCCCCACAGAAGTCCTAATATTTTTTATGTCCACCAGAGGGCTCTCAAACTCACATATACTGTACTGTATATTACCTTTAGTAATTTGTCTCTGGATGAATGATTTGTTTCACCCTGCTAAAAAGCCTTGGTTTGCATAGGAACTGAACATAAAATACAATATGGGGGCGGGGGGTAGTCAGGAGGGCTTCTCTATATGATTGCAATGTATAATAGGGTTGCCATATTTTTAAAGGGGGAAAGTTGTTGAGGGGTTTTTTTTTTGCCAAGTTGTTCAGCTTTTTGAGGTATTTTAAAGAGAATTAGCCAAAATATAGACTTCCGACATGGACTGTGGTATGTCCAGATTTCCCCCAGACTTTTCAGTGATTTTCCCCCAGACACTGTTTCTATGTCTATCCATATTGTCCATAGTATTTGTTACATTACAAGTGAGATTAAAATCCTGCGAATGTTTTCATCTGCTTACAGTGGTCTCCTAAATAAATTATAAGCTTTCCCCATTCTTTCTTGAATTTCTTGTCTTCTTGGTCTCTGAGTTTTCCAGTCAGTTTTGCCATTTCAACGTAGTCTAACCGCTTAGTTTGCCATTCCTCTCTGGTAGGGACTCTTTCTTCTTTCCATCTCTGGGCTAGTAGCATCCCTAAGAAGCACCATTTCATCACCACTGTATGAAATTAAATTGGGCTGGTTGTTGGCAATTTATTGATAAACAGTTGTTTATTAATGTTGATATGTGATATGACGTGGGTGGCGCTGTGGGTTAAACCACAGTGCCTAGGACTTGCCGATCAGAAGGTCAGTGGTTCGAATCCCCACGATGGGATGAGCTCCCGTTGCTCGGTCCCTGCTCCTGCCAACCTTGCAGTTCAAAAGCATGTCAAAGTGCAAGTAGATAAATAGGTACCGCTCCGGCGGGAAGGTAAACGGCGTTTCCGTGTGCTGCTCTGGTTCGCCAGAAGCAGCTTAGTCATGCTGGCCACATGACCCGGAAGCTGTACACCAGCTCCCTCGGCCAATAAAGCGAGATGAGCACCAGAGTCAGTCACAACTGGACCTAACGGTCAGGGGTCCCTTTATCTTTACCTATGTGCATTAACCAGGATAGTTTGCATGATTTAGCTGCCTTCTTGTTTCATTCCAGATTATTTTGTAATGCTGAGTACTATCTGTATGATATGTCCTCGCATAATGATAAATATGAATGTGACAAAGGAAATTTATCCATTGCCTTGGCTGAAAATGCTGCAGAGCGCTACTTAAATCCCATTAATTCCAGTGGGATTTCAGCAGCCTAATTGTGGTCAGGACTGAAGTCCTTTTAAATAAGCTTCTAATGACTTTACCATTTACAAGGGAAATATGGGAATCAGCAGAGAGACAAGCTGGCATTAAATGTACACATGATATCCTGCACTTTATGAACAGGATGGTAATGAAATTCTCTCTCATTCTCTTTGTCACTGCATGAAGCCCATTTCATTCCATGCAGGATTTGTTTCCCTTTCTTTGTTGTTGTTGACAGCAATTCACATCTGGCTCTCAACAGACAATGTAGACATGGCCACAAATGTTGTTTCCTGGAAGAGTGGTGTTTTGAGAATGGAACCTGTCCACTGCTGATGGGATAAATCTTTGGTTTATCTTCCAAGCAAAGGTCATTTATCCATGTAAAAGTGCCGTCAAAGGGTGCTTCCTCTTTAGTGACGTGATCTGAGGGTAGTAAGAGATGTTTACAGAGCAGAGCTGCAAGAACAAATGTTGCTGGGTTTTTAGATTATTTTATTCAGATTTACCCACGGGATTTTAAGAGGCAGTTGCAAAGGTATTTTAACAGGCCAGAAAACAGAGAGAAATTAAACAATAGCATACATGCTATGTTTCTTTTTTTTAAAAAAATAATTTTTATTTTAAAAAAATATTGGTTTTCCGTACTGTATTTCTATTTAAATTATATGAATGATTTGCAAATTTGTCTCTATATGTATAAATTGACACATGCAAATTTTATGCAAGTCTGGGTTGTCTTTTGCCCCCCTTTTAATGTATTAATTGCATTCTGCTTACCACCTTTTACCACCCAATGAGTTCAAGGTGGTGTGCATGTTCTCCCCTTCCACAACAACCCTGAGAGGTAGATTAAGCAGAGAGACTGGCCCAAGGTCACCCAGTGAGCTTCAGGGCTTAGTGGGGATTGGAGTGCTGGTGTGCTGGATCGTAGTCCAACATTCTGGCCCTCCTACTGCTATGTGTCTTCCAGTCGTTTGTTTGCTTTCTAACAGGCAGAGCCCAGTCTCCAGGCCTTCTCTGGTGCTCACCACAAAGAAGCTGCAAAATTGATCCCATGCCCTCACCCCGGGCTCTGACTATGGGCCAGAAGGCAGTTGCAAACCTCAGAATACACCAAGTTGGTTGTGGAAGGTACAGCGTACGAAACAATTCCTGCCACTCCCCAGAGGAGGAAGAGAGTGGTGGTGATAGGTGACTCTCTTCTGAGGGGGACAGAGGCAGCAATGTGTGGTGGTAACAGGATGTCCCGGGAGGTGTGCTGTCTCCCAGGTGAAGAGAGTCATGATGTGACAGAGAAATTGCCAAGCTGACCACAACCTCCTCCTTCTGACTCATGTGGGTACAAATGATACCGTCAGACACAGCCTTCGAAGTATAGCAGTGGCCTATGGCAAATCCCAGCTGTATTCAGTGGTGCTTAGTTCCAGGAATTGGACTGTTATAGCATAAAGACTGTTACAGCATAAATCTTCTATTTCTGCAGTCAGAGGCAACATGTTGTCAGTTCCTGGAAACTGCAGGTGGGGAAGGTTCTGTTGCATTCGGCTTGTGGACTTCTCATTGGTCAGCTGCTGTGAGTGCAGAATGCTGGACTTTATGACCCTTTGGCCTGATCCAGCTAGGCTCTTCTTATGCAATTTGATGCACGTCAACCTGGGAACAAATCCCATTGAGCACAGTGGGACTTAAATATGAACAAACATTTATAGGACTGCCGGAGACCGACAGCATAAGAAAAAAGCTTGGGCTCTTCAAAAATTGCAACCGTTTTACCAAGCAGTGAAGCATCTTCGAAAACATCTTTTCCTCTCTTTCTAATGTCTCATTGTAAGTTACAGAGGTC